GCGCGGTGCTGTACGGGAGATAAAAATAGGTATTTTTTATTTTGTATTTGCATTTTAAAGGCAAGTATTTCAAATAAATCTCATCTCTGTATGTAATTAAATAAATTTTATTTACTCTTTCACGAAGATGTTTTAAAGCATATATAGAATGACTGCCACTTCACCGATATTTATTTCTAGAGATTGTGGTAGAACCATTTCAACTCTCTTTCAAAGGTGCACATTGTAAGCACATACCTAACAGCTAGCGGTATGACCTATTGAAAATAATTGAATTTTCCACTTCCAGCAACCCGTTGAATTCCCAGTGCATGCATGACAACCCCAAGTACTTTCACTTACTATAAAAGGATTCACAATTCTGTACAAGATATATAAGTCTGATATAAAAAAACAAAAATAAAAACCTTCTTCTCTTATTATTTTATTTTGTTTGCACAAAACCAGATTTGGTAACTCTAATATAGGTGATCAATTTAAATGTATTTTAAAGGGTTATGTAAATTTTCATCAGACTTTACTATTACATAAGTGGCTCAAAAGATATTTGCGAATTAGAATGCTACAGGAGCATAGCAACCGATAATATAATATTCTGGAGCTACCTGACAATTAAAATAAAAGATGAAAGGGTTGCTTAGATCTCCTTATAGTATCCAAGATGTTATTGCTTAATTAGAATCTTTAATTCAAATTGTAAATTTTGATATATTTCAGATGGAAATGAACAATTGGCAATAAGCGTGCGGGTCTAAATATTTCTACGCGGGTGTAGAATTAGTTGCATATATATCACCATAATGCCTTCAAAATTAAAATGTAAGTGCTATATGTTCAGTGGGCAAAAGTGACGTTTTGTTCCCTAAGAAAAAATTGATTCTGTTACCAGAAATTGTTCTCTATAATGTGAGTTATAAGTTAAAAGTACCAATCATCCGTAGTAACTACGTTACACAAACGTTAGTAGTTTAAGACTTTATTGTAGAGTTTAAATTGTAATTCTAAAAGTTATTGCAATTTGAATTGAAGACGTTCGCGTATTGGACCGCTATGGATTTCAGTTTCAATATTGCAATTAAGTGCAATCCATTGAGCGTAACGTATGACCTTTAACCCGAGCATTGTACATATAACAATAATGGTTTGATTAAGTTAGTATTTGCAATTAGTCACATGCAATAAGTTATCTGCGTAGGTACCTGAATTTGACTGCTCCATCAAAGGCTTATGATACAGCAAAATTTGTAGCTTAACAACCGCATGATGGGTCGATTGCACGGAATATTCGGACGTGAATTGATCGAATGAATTTACCTACCCGTTGTAGTTGGTAAATCGATTTGAAATAATTGCTGCAAACCACACATTAACACGGAAGTCGACTACAAATAGTACAAAATAACAATCGCGATAGGTGATGATACATTCATAACTAGCGTCTTCCGTTAATTTATTAATATAATAAGGTCAAAATTCTGATAAACATAAAAAACGATATGTATCTGATATATCGAGTGGACGCAAAGAGAATCAGGAATCAGGTTGGTATTAGGGTCTATGGAGTACCTGGCACTACCCGAGGCTAGCAACATGCGATAGCCAAATCCCACAATCAGGAGCTTGAGGTATCGGATCAGGTATTTGATCTGAACCTCAATAAAAATTTTCAAAAACATCTGGACCTCAACTAAAATTATTTGACAACTCTTAACCTAGACGTTTCTCAACTAAATGATCTACAATTGCTTAGTACTCGGGAGGACATCAGTACGATCCTGGGTTCAATTGCCCTGGTTCAAGTTTTTCTGTGGTTTCCAATCTTTTCTGTGGATCAATTAGGCAAATGCTGGGGCAATACTATTCCACAGATACAATCTTTCTTTTCACTCACACACCAGTCCCAACATTCCTGAAAGGAGGTTGTAGAGGGCCTAGAGCCTTACATTGCAGCGTACTCCGGAGGTACTTACCGTCTTCCAACATTAGTAGGTGATGGGATTCAAACAAGTTTTTTTTGCCCTATGGCCAGACCACATTACGACCACCTTTTAAACTAAGGGTACCCGCAACCGATATCACTGAATTCGGAAAATAGCTGAATGCTTACTAAAAAAACTGCGGTAAGATTCGCAGTGTGTGACCTCGCTAGTTACATTCATCAAAGGGAGTACGGGTAGCCCAGGCGACATGATGGTGAAGAGTCAGGGAAAAGTGGCAATCTCATGAACTCGAGATAGTTTACTAGTGTCGCACGCATAAGAAAGTTATTGCTATTGCTCAGCTCCTAGGAAAAATTGGTAGCGATATTTTCGGCTACTGACTGAGTGTATCTCAATCCCGTGCCCGTGAGAATCGCAAGATAGTAATTAAAATAAATGGAAGGTAACTCCCCACTAAATTACAATACTACGATGTGGAAGGCAACGGGTAACCACCACATTATGATTCCGAGTAAAATATACAAAACATTAGATTTTAGCTATATGGGAAGTCAGATTAGTCAGGACGGAAGGAACAGTAGGGATATAAAGCAAAAGATAGAGCAGGGTCGAGTCGACATCAATAAAAAGGAGTTACTTCTATGCTCGCGAACGATTAATTTAGAAATTCGAAAAAGATAGTGTAAGTTTGGAGCGCGGTGCTGTACGGGTGCGAAACATGGACGCGACGGTAAAGGAAAGATTAAAAGCGTTCGGAATGTGGTGTTACAGGCGAATGATCAGAATACCGTGGATAGAGAAAGTTAGAAATGAAGAGGTATTAGAAAGAACTGTGGACTTCATTGAAATCATTAAGAAATAGCCGAGATAGGTTGGTACGACACCTTCGCAGGCATGAAGGTCTAGTCAGAGACGTATTAGAGACAGAAGCAGTAGTTAGGAGGGGTAGAGTTAGACCTAAGTTAGATTACTGCTCGTAAATAGTTAAGGATATGAGTTGGTCTAATTTTAGGGAAATGCGAAGATTAGCTGAGGATAGGAAAGAGTGGAGGTGGTTGTTTAACCAGTCTTAAGACTGACGACCTTATGGTGATGAACTCCCTAGGTATGACGATACAGTTGACATAAAACGATTTTAACTTTTATTTTGGAGTAGCTATATTAAAATCAATTTGTTTTGATTATGGGGTTGTCTCGTATATGCTAAAATAATTTTTTTCTGCGTTACAAAGGCAAAACTTCACGTGTTTTCACATCAAGGTACTCGTTTCAAACAAAAAGACAGGTAAATGGTAAAAACGAATAAATCGTCTCCAATATTATCCTTACTATCCAACATAAAAAACAAGGATAGGTAAAAATTGCTACTTACTCAGATGGTATCGTACCAAACGGGGATCATCTTCTTTTCCAAGTCCCAATTTTTGAAATGCTTCGTTAATGGGGGCAAAAATGGTAACTGCCTCATGTTGAAGGGTGTTATTGGCAACCACTTCTCTTTGTAACAGGGAGTAAAACTGCAACAAAAGAAAATAATTCATTAATATAAGTATTACATTCTATTCAATAAAACGATCAACTTATGTATATTGGAAGGCACACAAAAAATGTATATGTAGATATGTGTGTAATTAATTTCTTGAAAATGACTCTAAGAACATTTATGAACCTGTCTTCATGTGGCTGTAATAGAGCAGGCTCTGCTAGTCTGATATCCTGATGTTTTATAGGTTGGGAGTTTATTATACGGAAACTTTTACTTAAAATAATGTTACTTTTAGGAAAAATTGCTTTCACGCAGCTTTAGCTTTCAGCAGTAGAAAATATAGGTCACTTGATAGGTTTAGATATCCATCAATATAAATGGACCCTGTTGAACATATTGAACTTCACTAAAATGTAGCATTGTACTACAGATTGTATTTACTGCGCCCTTTGTAGGGTTTTATTTGATAAGTAATTTCATAACGATGAACACTAAATTATACAACCCAACATACATCAAAGATTACCTGACAAAATCTACTGCAATTAAAATAATTCGAACATACGTAATCCTAAAATTTAGCATCGTGCTACAGATGGCGTTCACTGTGCCATTTGTAGTATTTTCTACTGCAATTGTTTTCTTTTAAAACAATCGGTTGGAGAAAAGAAACTTAAATTTAAAAATGCTTTTTATGCACTTCATTTGTTCGATTACAACATCAAACACAGTTTTCCATATTCTTCTGTTACCAATATCTTCTTTTTTGTTTTTTTTTTTTTTATAATCAAGTAGTCGTTGTATCGTAAAGAAGACAAGACAACCAGCGGAAGTGGTTTTCGAAAAGGAACGTAGCCGAAGTTCTTTTTGGCGCCCTGTCAGATTTCACTTGTATCATAAAGGCAGCAGACTCAGTTCTAGTAAAAGGATCAACTGTATGAAAAGCGTATTAAGCTTTCCACGATGAAAGGTGAAATAAACCATTTCGAAACACAAAGAGTTCTCCCAATAAATAAGCCCGGTTTGGGAGGAAATGAAACGGAAATCGCGGAGGAGTTGCGATGGTGACGGTGTTACCGTTTTCTGTTTTGTTCCTTTTTCCGAAATGATAAATTACTTCTGTTTTATCGCTTTTGACAATTCGCGACTACCTTTTCATATCTGGTTTGAGCCGCAGTGGCCGACGGGAATGTATGCCTGCCGAAAAGCTTGTTTTTGTTTCTATTCGGGACTCCCGAAGGATAATGCCCTATTTGAATTAGAATTTGTATTCGCGGGACAAAATTAAAATGGCCTCCTCCCGTAAATCCCTTTCATAACGTCACGTCCGTAGTTAGAACTTTAAATTTTAAATTATATTAGGTTTCATATTAGAGATACAGGAGTACCGGATCCAAACCGGTTACCCGACCCGATCTGGCACTTTCTTTAGGATCTTACGCTAAGTACGCGTTCGAAATGTGGTGTTACCTGCGAATGATGAGGTTACCGAGGATAGAGAAGGTTAGAAATGAAGAGGTATTAGAATGAAAAGGAGAACTGAAGACTCTATGGGAATCAGTAACAAATAGGCGATATAAGTTGGTAGGACAGCTTTTCAGACATGAAGATATATTAGAGGCACAAACAGGAGTTTAGAGGAGTAGAGGTAAACTTAGATTAGATTACTGTTCGCAAACACTTAAGGATGTGGGATGTTCTAGTTTTAGGGAAGTGCGAAGATTAGTTCAGGATAAGAAGCAGTGGAAGAACGTCTCCAACCAGTCTTAAGACTGACAACCTTATGATGATGACTATTGGGATCCGTCAAATGGGAGGAGCCTAAAAACATTGCGCCGATTAGGGAAAATTTATCGTAGTTCCTATAGTGTACCGTGCAATTTCCAAGTTTTTAAATTACGATAAAATGATAAGTATTGACACAATATGTGATTGGGCTGACACAAAGCCTCGGAAAGGAAATTTCGTTGAAGGTGAGCGTGTTTTTAATGCCAATCACATTATAAAATTCGGAAATAACAAATCCGGAAGCTAGCCTTCAAATTCCGTCAAGTTTACTACCTACTTTTTACAAACTTCAGATTTAAAAAGTGGTTCACGTTATATAATTGGTGAGGTGATTCTGGGTGACACATTTTTATTCCGCAATTCACTTCTTTGATACCTACTGCTTTCATCCAAGCTTCTATTAGTTTACTTTTTTCTCTAATTTTCCGAATATAATTTTTACATATATAAAACGGTTAGTTTTTATTGGAAAGTAATTAATGTAGGTGAAGAGTGAAGATCTATGTCTGAAGTGCTATTGCAGCTTTTCACTGAACATATTAACTTTTTATTTGATTTAACTTTAGAAGAAAACTTCGTCGACTCCATCATCAAAAAA